ATAGAGGCACTTTGATGGATGCACATAAAATTTGGACAGTTAAACTTCCGATTGACACATGTTATGATTGTACACGGTAAGAAATACGAAATATATACATATCTGAAACCCCACCATTCTTTTATTTGTATGTATTTCAAGCTGGAGTAATCGTTCTGCTTTAATCTCGACTGCATTGTGTTATAGGATTGTAATAACTTATTTCCTTAGGTGAGTTTGGATTTTGTAGTAATATTTATATCAATATATAACAGTATTGTAACGTGTACAACTGTTGTTATGCCATATGCGAATAAACAGTGGTGCTATGCAACCCGTTTTCAGGCAAGGTAAAGATAAAGTTATCCCTATGCTTAACTAATTAAGCACTATGCCATGAAGACGTATGGTGAAGTGGATGTATAAGACCAAGTTTTCTTGACCTCGGCACTAGTTGGAGGTGAATGGTCAGCTTCACGCCCCATCCACTATACCCCCAGGGAAAGAGCTCCCAGTACTCATTACATAGGATGGATGGGTGGACCCCAGAGCTGGTCTGGAAGACATTGAGAAGTGAAAATACTTGCTCCCACCAGGACTTGAACTCCTACCCCTTGATCGTTCAGCCCGTAGCCAGTCGCTATGCCGATTGCGCTATCCTGGCTCCGTTTCTGCGGCAACGAATACGGACACAACAGTACAGTTCCAATAGCAACAGGGTGTTTTATATGTTGTTTATGCCGAAATGTTATAAGCAGAGTCAGTAGAGTTCTGGAGTTGAAACCTGTGTGGAGGCAGGGTCAAATACCTCCAACGTAGCTCTGAGAGTCATAGGAGGTGACGAAAGGAGACCCCAGTGCCTGGGGTTATAACTGGGCCACCCTGTTCCTCGGTGATATAAATATGGGGACTGGCTCTCCAGGTTGAAAAAATCTCAAAACTGAGAGAGTAAAATATGGTCATGAGTTCCTTGGGATTGTGACCTCAAAATGACTGCGTTGGCAAGGGCCAGCAGCAATTTTAAATGTCAGACCCATCCTCATTAGAGAGGATGTTACATAGTGACCATGACGACAACGGTTCAGTAGAAAAAAAAATATTGCTATTAGTCTCGAGAGGCTTGTCACCAAGGCGAACTGATTGGCAGTAAACTGCCAGTCTTAAAATAACTGACTCTTGACTCTGACTCTTGAGCTGAAGCTGTCAGCAGCTCAGTTGAGTGAAATTATGTGATGTAGCTGGTTGGCAAGTAAGAGAATTCAGTTATCAGTCGTGAGTCAGTCTGTGAAGAGAAGACCAGGAGGTTGGTGTGAAATGGCCACCAGCCTGGGAACCAGTTAGATGTGTTGTCAGTTGACAAGAGTTCTGCATGGGTGGCTGTAACAAGAGGATCTGAATGCAGGATGCTGAAGAATCTCCCTCGGTGAAAGCCGTTGCCAGGAAACGGCCAGTGGAGACTCTAACAGACTGAGGGCACTAGTATTTGTGTGTCAGTGTTCTGTAAAGTGTAGTTTTGAGTGGTGTATACAGGTGGTCGATAAATCCAATTCACCAATCTATACCCCGTCACACACACCTAATTCATGACAGTATGCTAGACACAGATTCTCCAGTCTGGGCATGCAAATTATTCATAGGAAGAACCTAGCAGCTTGCATGAACAGTAGTGATTAAATCCATTTCTTTGCAGTGTAATGACTGAAGGTGGTTTATCCGTACTTTTCAGGTTAAACTGGATTTGCAAGGCAGAATAGTAAAGATGACATTGATTTACTGTAACATCATTCCTGTGGAAATATACTTTCTTTGAAAGTCACACTTTCATACTACATTCAGCAAACGGTGATGCATAATCTAGTTAAAAAATATACTGCTTCTGTTGAACTTCAAGGTTCACTGCTGTGTACAGAAAAGCATGCCAATTGAATCCATTTCCACCATTACAGTCTACAGCTCCATGATACACTGAAAACTGTCTTCCCATCTACACATAAGTTCACCAAGTCTCTCTTCCCTTCAGATTTTCTGACAAAAAATTTCCCATGTGTCATATATNGCGCCCCATCCACTTTACCCCCAGGGAAAGAGCTCCCAGTACTCATTAGATAGGATGGATGGGTGGACCCCAGAGCCGGTCTGGAAGACATTGAGAAGTGAAAATCCTTGCTCCCACCGGGACTCGAACTCCTACCCCTTGGTCGTTCAGCCCGTAACCAGTTGCTATGAAGACTAAACTCAATGGTAGGAAGCATTTGTGGAACTTAATCTGCTCTTCGTTTCATCATGAATATCACTGCAATCTTTTTACAGATGTTTTTATATCGTGGACAGTCTGTAGCATAATTGGTTGAGGGGCCAGAAGGTTGTGGGTTGAAGTCCTGATGAGGTCACTGGATTGTCTTCAACTGACCTAATTCTTCCGGCCGCACTATGGCCCTGTGGTCGACTCAGCCTCTAACAGAAATGAGTACCAGGAATTAATTAAATAATTTTCCTGGGGAGTAAAGCGTGGCCAGCGCATGAGGTTGACAACCTTACCACCACCTTTGAGCCGATTGTCGAGATAATGTGGGACCGCAACGTCTCACAACCCTATGGGCCTTCACGGCCTAGTACAGGGATAGCTTTACTTTACTTTTTACAGTCAACAGATGTTATTTTACTGCTTACTTATGCAACTGAACATGTAGTCCTTTTGGAAGTCACTATTTTCATTGTCTGTTACCCATATTTCATTTTATTCCTGTAGGAAAAACTGGTTTCCAGCTGCGCCCTGTAGCAGGCTATTTGTCTCCAAGAGACTTCCTATCAGGACTTGCTTTCAGGGTGTTCCATTGTACACAGTACATCCGTCACTCATCAGATCCATTTTACACTCCTGAACCGTAAGTACATGTGTATTTGCTCCTAATAAGTAACAGTATTGGAGCTGTATTTTACTTCTTTGTATGTACATAATGCAAATAAGCATTATAGCTGATAATATGTGCAGAATTGATATCAGTCAAGATGCAGAATTAGAATGTCCCAGAACATTTTTTTCTATTCAATTTTAATTGCATACATCTCCATGTTCATGTGCAAATGAACTTCCAAAGATTCAAGCCAGGAACTAAAGTCCCTATAGTTAGGAACTACTTCCATGTCTCAAGAATCCTATTGATAATTAGCAGGATCACAGGAATCTAGGCATCTGGTGTTCCCTTAGTTATAAGTTCTTGATGCAGAATATTCCCTGATGGTAAGAAATTCCTGTTGTTGGCATCTCTAAAACATCTTTGAGGTTGCACTATCATAAAATAATGTTTTAGATTGTTATGTTATTATTAGAAATTTACTAGATTTTACTTTCAACACAAGATGAGAACCAAAATCTTCGTACTAGAAATCTCATTGAACCCACAGAATTTCTTTTCTGTAGGGTTGCTGCTAAAGGTATTCTGGCTTATAGACCAGTTGTTAAGTTGTGACTCCATAAACAGTGGCTGTTGCTATGTAACGCCCACTAAATACAATCATGCAACTACAGAAGAACTGTGTTTTCTGTGTGGTTTGTGACGAGATGTTATGGCCAAGAGAT